GAGTGTGCACGTAACGCGCTCCATTAATAAACGAGTTCTCGCGCCTCTATATCTGCCGTCGAAAAAGGAAAAAGGAATGATACGCGCGTGGAGAGAGACGATAGCTCGAGGAGCTTTTATCCACCCGTAATTAGAGATTAATCGTATATAACCCCCCTTGCAGGTATATGCGTGTATCGATTGCCTTAATAATAATACTGGCAATGTAGCTCGATCGAGCGCCCTCGGTCCCGAGTCCGGAGCGATTTCTTCTCTCCTCTCTCTCTCTCTCTTTCTCTCGGCAGAGATCATATAACTACCGGTTGAGAGGTGTTATTCATTTTATTTGCCCCGGTATAGATTGCACCATTTCAGTTTCGCTCGCGTGAAAAAAATAAATAAATAAAGGTTATTCATATTATGCATAAGAATTGTAGAAACTCTATTACTTTATTCGATAAATCTCAAGTAAAAAATTTATCAGCGCAGTCCTGACCCAGTACTGGCATAAAAAAGACAAGTGTCTAATTCAAGACAACATACGTTTTTCCTGAAATGATAATTCAGACTCTTCGCGCATAAAATGGGGTGTATTGTAAATAAACTTAAAAAAATATTTTTCTGTCATTTATTTTGAAACGGAAACATTAGCGTGCTAGTCTCGGAAACATCACCGCTCAAGGGGTCGTAGGTTCGATTCCTGGCGGATACAGTTTCGGACTTTACCGAAAAGGTACTCGGCGGGAAGAGTACCTACAGGCTCCGCTGTCTTGGGGCGGGTTTTTCCTACAGGTGTACCTCTAGTGCGAATCCACTGGTACACCGTACACTGGTACAAGATTTTCCTAGCCCCTCAGGTCCCGTGACCTAGGCGAATGCGAGGCAGTTGTAGGGCCTGTAGGCTAACCTTCTAAAGGGGCCGCCTGATTGCCATATCCACATTTAAAAAAAAAAAAAAAAAAAAAAAATTATTTTGAATAAAGTATAAGTCTGTACAATAGAAATTAATAAAAAAAATGAAGAGATTTAGAATGCGTGGATTAGAATGGTATAATAATGTGTTCTTTCGAGATTTCAAGACTTTTTAAAGTAATATAACATTAGTTACTAACAGTCAATATCTCACTAAGTTGATTACATTATTTATTATTTTTCATTCAGTTGCATTTTTTTCCTTCCTTTTCTTTCCTTTAGTTTCCTTTTTCGCTACATAGATGCAAATACAATTTTTTGTGGATCCCCCAACCTAAAGCAACATTTTACTCACGCTGGGCAAAACCAAAATTTTACTTTAGGCTGGGGGATTCACAAAAAATTGTATTTGCACCTATGTAGCGAAAAAAGAAAGTCTCAGAGCACGTAATTATCAACCTCCGATGATAGAGAGCTCTGAGACTTTCCAGTTTTTTACTCCCTAGGTGCAAAATATACTATTTAAATCCATCAATAAATACGCATATGATACAAGGAAAGAAAATGAAACATGATTGTTTTGAAAGAGTATTATGTTGTAAACAACAAATTTAGAAAAGCAATTTCTTATGAAGATTGAAATGAGTGCAACGAAAAGTGATGGTTTATTCAAAAACCCCCTTATATATTCTTTGTATATAGTTTTAGAGAAATTGTTTAATTTTTCAAGCTGAATTTTACAATAAGTAAATATATTTATTAGAAATTCGTATACAATGATAATCGATAAATCGACTGAATAACAAAGTCTGTCTTTAAGCTTGTGACTCGTATTCATGTTTATATCGTACATAATAACACACAAAGCCGACAGGCAACGGTAAACCTTCGAACTAGTAATTTAAAAATATTACGCGTAAAATATATATTCGCGTCGATGCTCGTCGAGATAAGCCCAGCTTTTTGTTGTTCCTTTTTTTCTTTCGCCCTCTCGTCTTTAATACATCCAGAGCAGTTCACAACTGCGCTTGATTGAGTCGTGATCGCTCTCGCACATTGTCAAGCCTGCATATAATACTCGCTGAGAATTGGTCCTCCGTGTGAGGCGCTTCTCCTTGTCAGGGTTCATTATTTAGAGGACACTTTCGCGATACGAAAAAGTTTTATTTTCCTTTCGTTTTCGTCTCTCGTACACTATACATATTATATATAATCTTGAGAAAGCAATCAATTTAATGCTACAGCTTGATAAAAAATTCAGTTACAATGTGCCAATCGCGAAAATTGATGATCGGCTTGGCAGCGCTCGACGCGCGCGAGAGAGTGCGAAGAAAAAACGAGAATCGCGAGCAACGAAAATTGCTGGTATACGCGTGTATATTTATTAACAGCACGCAGACGCGCGGCGCAGGTACTATAACCATATTATGAAGGTGTGCAATCAAGGTCGATTTGCCGACTATGCGCGCGCTGTGCATCGGTGCAACGATACGAGCAGCCGGACGCGGCACGAGCAGTGGCATCAAACGGGGGCTGCCAGTCGCCTTTTATAATCGTTTATATACGAAGCGGAGCTCGTTTTTATATACTGCGTTAAAGAGGTGATGACGACGACGACCACTAGGGAAGGATCATCACTAGACACGCTTGGATAAGTGGCCATCCTTCAAGTGTTTTACTCGAGCGAGATCGATTCTCGTGTACGATGGCGCTTCGTCATAACTAATTCTAGCCCTTATTGTGTACCGGCCCACTTTCTGCATTCGGGTGTAAAGATTATCTGAATCTTTATCTTATCGTTATCTGAATGACCGACTGACTTTTAAAACGAGGCCTCGCGCGTACTGTATAATTTATGGCAAGCTCAGGAGTTACACGAGAAAACTGAGAAAATTGCGCGCAATGACGAAATAATTTTTACAAGTAAAGCGTCGTAAAAATGAAAAGCTTTCAAGCTTCTTACATTGTAATTACTCGTTACGATATGTGTAGTAGAAGCTCGACCGCTAGATGTCACTGTCAAATCCACAAGTAAAAATCGAATCATCAAATTTAATACAAATTTTTTATACAAATTTAATAGCAATAATTGGCTAAACCTTAGTTGTGTCAACGGCAAGTCAGCAAAAATCGCGAATTGTGATTCTGTTTCTTAAAAACCAATCGTTCGTAAACGAGACAAAAGACAAATCACATCTTCCTCTCTCTCTCTACCTCTCGTTTGCTCGTACACACTTGTAGGGTGACACATTCAAGGAACGATGCAAAACCAGCACTTTTCTTATTAAGCCATCGTCGCGGTGCAACTGCAATATAGTACCGCAGACGCGAGGGAGAGAGAGAGAGAAGAGGAATAAGAACACGAAGACTATCACAAGACAAAAGGGTTGAGAAATACCGTGGCCGAGGGAGAGAGAAAGAGAGCAGTACAGAGAGTCTCATTTTTTTTACCTCTGCATTTTCTTTCAATTATTCGCGGGCTGGCACGAAGAGTACACATAATATAAGTGGCCCGTCGTCGCCGCCGCCTCCACCGCGCGTCCCATCGAGTTACAGCACGATTTCGTCGCGGAGCTTCAAGTCGAGTGGGCGCGTGACTGCTCGTCTCGTTTTTCTTGCGTTTACTACTCTCTTTTTCTCTCTCTCTTTTCTCGCTCTCGACTTTCGTCGAGACTTGTGAATGTTATATAAAAGCCTCGAGCGCGTGCTTTTTTTTCTTCCCCACGTTGCACCAACTTCTTATGCAGTAGCAGCAGCATCATTTCTATATACGTTGCGCATACCACCAGTGCTGCACATGTACGTATGTATATGCAAAAACACATATCGAATGTATAACAGCATAATAGCCGCTCTTTTTCGAACGAACGAACCCATCGGAATGACTCGAATCTCTCGGGCGGGCGCGGGCGAGCTCTCGACTCCCACCACCACCCTGGCATTTATACACGTACGCTGTATAACCTAAACTATATATGTGCACGTTTTTTCGCGTGTATTTTATGCTCAGGGGTTGCTGCTGCTCCTGCCTGCTCGCAAGCATATAATGAGCTTACGTACATGAATGTACGTACGCAGGGTGCGCCGTTCAAGGGATTCGTTAAATTTTAATTGAAAGCATTAAGACCTTGAGTCGCGTACGCGCGTTTGTTTCCTCCGACGCAGTGTGCGGCAGCTTATTTCGTTAAATTATCGGAGCTTTATGAATGTAAGTAGTCGCGTCTACTCCCCGTACATTTAGGTAGGTGCAGCGCACGATCTTTAAACAAAACTCTTTTATGGCAAGCGCACACAAACACAAACGTACACAGACAAACGCAATATGTACGCAGCTTCAAGAATCTTGCGCATTTGCGCTGGAGTATATAAATGTATACGTGTACGTGCTCGGAGGTGAAATCTTCGTCGAGCGCGCGATTGCGTCTCTTGCTCCGCACATACGCGCGCGCGCTTGCGGCCAAGAGAACGGGTGTAAAGCAGAAGCGCACACCGAATCTTATGCACGCTAGTATGATAATATATACAAGGTATATACACACCGGCTCTGAGAGAGGGAGAGTACATAATAAACACGAGCAGCAGCGAGAGAGACGCACAATCTCATCAAACTGTGCAATCTAGAAGCTCGCTCATATACAGACGCATTCGCGTGTACGTATGCATGTTCACATGCATATATTAGCTTGCAGCGAGCATTTATGTGTTTACTGAACAGCAGCAACAACAGTAGTAGTAGTCCGCTAGTAGTAGTAGTAGTTCGGTGCGATATGGTTTATGTACGACGCGCCGTACAGTACGTATATCTGCGTACACGTCGAGTGCGTTACAGAGAGCAAGAAAAGCACTGCTAGTTGTTGGTGCGCGCTTCTAACGCCGCCGGGCATGTTTACCCCTCCCCCCGAACGCGACCTTACCTATCCCGTATTATAAAGCGCACATATACCTTTAATGCCCGCGCGCGTCTGCCAAGTAGTAAAAGCAGGAGTGGCAGACAGAAGTTCGCGGGCACTTGGAAACTCCGACTATTTCTATATACGAATGAGCCTTATATACGTTATATGTATTAAGCGGACCGAGTTTGTAATGCTCCTCTTTGTTCTTTTTTCCAGTGTGCAATTGCAACCAGCACGCGAGGAAGTGTCGCTTCAACATGGAGCTGTACAAGCTGTCGGGTCGCGTGTCCGGCGGCGTGTGCTTGCAGTGCAGGCACTTCACGGCCGGCAGGCACTGCCACTACTGCAAGGAGGGCTACTACCGCGACCCGGCCAGGCCCATCACTCATCGCAAGGCGTGCAAACGTAAGTACAAAATAATCATCATGACCAAAGCTAATTCCAGTAATATATTTCGATGTTATATTTGTGGTGCACTGTGCGCGTGTGTGGGCTACTACACGCATGCCTTGGAGTGCCGCGTGCATGGCTGAGCTTCGTTTGATTCGATCCGACGCGACAAGGACTATCGGTCGCGTATCGAGTCGCCATTATCGCGCGACATTCGAGGCTTGCGTTATACATCGCGCTTATGTATATATTATAATGTACAATATCGATTACTCCTTCGTTGGATTATCGATCCGCGCGCTATGCCGCGTCATCGATGCAATGCGCTCAATCGTTTAAATATACTCGGCAATCGCTGCGTTTATATACAGCGAACAACAACCGCGCGCAAAAGCTGCGATGCGATGGTTCGTTGTATAGAAAAATTCTTGATTGGCTCGCTTAACGCAGGCATATTACATAGCCATAATAATATATGAAAATAAAAAAAAAGTATAAGAATGAAAAACAAGGCGTTATAACATCCGCAAACGCGTCTTGGCTCTATCTCTCCTCTCTTCGCTTTTTTCCTCTCTCCCTCAATCTCTCTTTTTCCTTTTCGCGCCGATACGTCGACAACAAGCTTATAATAACGCGCGAGAAGCTCCATCATAAATCGGCGCGCGTTTTACATCTCGGCCAGAACGATAAATCATGAAGGCTGCGCGCGTCCTTGGCTCGCTCGCGGTATACAGCGCATATCTCGTCTCGTATACGTACACTTCGGGCCTCTGCGGACGTATTATAATGTATTAAAAGAAAGCGCATTTGCACGTACATACAGCGCATATAACGGATACAATGCAGAAAAGTATTCGACGCGTCGCCGCTGCTTTTCGACACAATTCGTCTATGTCGGAAACCTATGCCGCAGGGGCGCCAGAGAGAAAGAGAGCGAGAGAGAGAGAGAGAGAGTATTTTAGCTCTTTTCCAACTACACACCGTGAGGGTGTACACACAAAGTGGCGAACTGCTCGCTCCAATTTATGTCGCGAAAAGAGTCTAGACGCCACTGCCTTAACGTATACCGCATTATAATGCAAGCAGCGGAGCAGAGCAGAGAAGATCGCCTTCTTCTGCTGCTGCTTCTGCTCCTCCTCCTCCTTCTACTACTACGACTACTTCTTCTTCGTCGACTTCTCGCTCCTTCGTTTTCGCCAAGTGCAAGTGCCGTCTTGCCTTACTTACACTTACGCATATACACATACACACACACACTTGTAACCTAAAGTGTACTGCATTTTGCGTTTATACATCGAGCGCACATACATACATCACCTTCACTTATTCTCGTATATCTATAAGTACATACACTAGTTTTTGCAAACTCGTCTGGCACGAAAAACTCCTGGCGTTGTTGTTACTCTCTGCAGTCTCAGTGAGCGCAATTCACGCGCAGTACTGCTGCTGGTGATGCTTTTTGGCGTAGTCAACGCATACCGCTAAGGCTTTATAGATCCGTGGTCGTTAGTCGCGTTTCATTATAATTTCTGAGAATTTTACGAGTGATTCCCTTATTTCCCAAATTTTACTCAACTTCGTTCCAGTGCTTTTAAAATTTTTTTGGGACTTAAAAATGAAAAAAACTGCAGTTAAATTGCGATCCTTCGTATCGACGCTGATAATGAATAACAGCGAGTTTGTATTCTCTTAAATGAGCTCATCTTTGATAATAGAATCTACACAGTCTATATATGGTCATTTCGCGGTGCCATTAGTCCAGAAAACCATGCTCATTTTTTAGATAATTTAACAATTTTTAAAAATTTGTAACGAAAATTCAGAGTTACTTTATTTAATAAAGAATAATATTGTGTAGTTACTTTAGATTTTGAGACATTCTCTTGTATACGCTCATTGGAGGCGAGTTTCGGATTCCATTGATAGATGTCATAATCGATTCCGAACGTAAAGAAAACAAAGTATAGTACATGTATCCCAGTTATGTCCCAGAAAAATTTGCACAATCGTCAATTGGACCTTTGCAGTGGATTTTCAAAAACTTTTAGACGTTCAATTTCAAGTTTTTGAGTCAACAAGGGAAGAAATTTATTAAATAACAATAGATAATTGTTGCGTTATCGCAAAAAATTATTACGTGAAAAAATTGTGAGATCCCCCTTCTCCTCTCTTATAATTAACAGTAATAAAACCAAAGACCCCCTCCCACGAAGCCATTCCGTAATTTATGAACGAGCCCATCATTATAACGACGTTTTATCAATAAAACAGAAACAAGTCAATAATTCTACTGAATTTGACCTTCAACATATTTATACGAAATGTTCAGGAGCCTCGTTTATTTTTGAAAATTGATCGGATTTCGACATAAGCTCATGAGCCTTAACACTTTTACATCGTGGAGTCGAAACATAGTCATCAATGTAAAGGAGTTTCTTCGCACTTTTGCGTGCAGCGAACGATTATGCATCGCCATTTATCAAATTACATCGTATCACCTTCTGCTGCTGTTGCTGCTTGTACCTCACGCACGCCTGGCAAGTATGTGCACAATAAAGCTGTAATACTAGCGATGTCAATCAAATTTGCGTACCGACGCTCGCTCGCTTGCGCGCGCGAAAAGTGAGAAGAAAAAACATTGTCCATGCGGTAATGCGTGCGCGCGAGAGGGAGAGCCTTTGAAACTTTTCTGCTTGCGCTTGAATAACACTCGTGAAACGAGAAAAGCCTATTATGCGCAAAGCGCGAGGCTCGCGCGCATACACTTTTCGCTCAAACTGCGATCTCTCTCGGCCTACCGGTCGACGAATATAAAAGGCCAACGCGCGCGTAATAATGTTGTGTGTCTGTGTACGCGCTATCGGCTTGAGATGTATCGTGCACGTCGTACGCATCATAGTACGCGCAGTTTTCGTTCTGCGTATACACACGAACTCTTTTTTTGTTTGTCCCTGCGTTATATGCGTACATATTTATGCTTTTTGCATATTGCGTACGCCACGCGGCCCTTACGAGAGGCATGAAAAAAAAAGAAGAAAACAAGCTGGAGTGAGGAGCTACGAGGGCAAATCGGCTGGTGAGCTGCTGTTGTTGCTGCTTCGGTGATTTATGAGACTGTTTCGAGAGACGCGTTTTTTCTCGTTACATATTTCCAAGATCGTTTTTTAAACAAATTTGAGAAAAATAAAAGTTGAATAGCGATAATTTCTTAACGAAAATTCTTTAGAACAGTAATAATCTTCCTTCGTGCGACTTCGATCGATGCACAATTTTTAATCGAAATTATTGATGCTCGTTACTTTTCTAATCACTTCTAGAGTCTTTGTCGTCGACGACGTTTTATCCGGCGCTGATTGTGCTCGTGTCGAGATTGCGCTCGCTAAGACGGAGCACCGTCCTCTTTTTGTCGAGTGACTTGGAATCTGCAGCTCTTTACACAAATTGCGCCATGCGTTTCCGTGTACACGGGGCGCCCGACGTTTCTTACAGCTTCACGCGCGACATTTGCACGTCTTAATTTTCCATCCGACGTTTTCACTCTTTCTCTCTCGTCTCGTCTGTCCCCGTATTTTCCTCCGAACGCGAAATGTAGTGAATCCTTTGCTTCATAGCATATGCGATTGGAGCACAGATCTCATTGCTTGACTTTTAGACTGCTTTCACTCTTTCTGGAGTTGACTACTATCCGTTCACGGGAAATAACAAGAAGCTATATAGCGAGAGATAAGCTCGTCTGAGTACGTATATGTATTAGCGTGTGTCTCCCAGGAGAAATTGTTTGCAGGTAGCAAAAAAGCTCCCACTGCATCTATATAAAAGCATTCGACGCTGCTATCTTGTTTATTTTGCTTATATACCTGTAAAGTCCCTTCGACTCTAATCTCGATTCAAAAAGTGAACCTTGCTCTTTATTTTTCTCTCTTTCGTATGCCTCCTCATTTTATTCGGATCCGGTCTATCATGATATCGAAAAAAAAATTCAAAGGATATCGATCGGACCCAATGAAAGTGGATCGTACGGTTCATATCCCCGTTCGTTATGTATTTATGAGCTTATATTAATTTATTCGAAAATCGAACCAGAATAAAAAAATGTTGGTTAGTCATAAATGCGATATCGTCTTCGTTCATTAACGCATCGACACTATTTCATAGTGTAGCCATTGCTGTACGCATAAAATCTCATTTAATTCATTAGAAAGCAGCGACAGCAGCAGCAAATGCCGCTACAGAAAAATTAATTGTAATTTAAATTGAGTAGATCATATTTTATAATATCAGCCAAAACAAGAAAAAAGAGGCAGAAGTAGCGAGCGTGATAATAATGTAATATCTGTAGGCATAATTACATGCGTCGATCTTTTGATATAAAAATTCATTCGGCTTAAACGTTTATTACGAGACCGTATAGCCCGTTATCTCAACGAGTTGCCATGCAGCAGCAGTAATTGCTACGAAAAAAAGTCCGGGCAATCGCAGTAGTGAATGCGCGCTCACACACACACACATACAGTTTGCAACAAGGCGTACAGCTCCTCTGCACCGACTAGCGCGCGAGCGAGCGCAAGTACACATATATCGTACGCGGCCCGGTGCACGGGTATATACGTATAGCATTTATATATATGGCGTATACATTCGCTCCGCGCGATATATACATGTATATAATATATATATTATATGTATACATACATACATACGTGAGTGTATGTATCCATTCATGGCGCGCGCGGAGCGACTGACGGAGCGTATACACCTCTTGGCTTTCTATGCGCTCCTGATACGTTCTCCTCTCCTTTTTCTCCTATATAAATATATTGCACATACATTTCACACGACAATATATAGATATACACATTTTAGAGGTGCGCACAGTGAACGAGGCAGTGCTGTTGCTTTCGTGGCTGCATCGCGCGTATTATGTCTGTATGGAGCTCGCGCATCTTTTGATGCAAAGGCACGTCGTTGATGGATTATTGTTTCTAAAAATTAGTCATATTTTTGGCGGGAAATGT